ACCACTCACGAAGCTGCTGGGGCGTAAGGTTCTCGCGCGGACGCGGCTGCAGCTGCACCAGGCCACCGCCAGAAACTCCCAACCAACTAGCTGCACCGCGACTGCCACTACGGCCACCGCCACGACACCTACGGGCATACCACTCACAAAGCTGCTGGGGTGTAAGGGTCTCGCTCGAACGTCGCTGCAGCTGCATCTGGCCACCGCTAGAAACTCCCCACCGAACAGCTCCAAAGCGACTGGTACTGAGGCCACCACCACTCCCACTGCTACCGCCACCGCCGCCACCACTCCCACCGCTACCGTGAAGGGAAGTTATGCGACTAGCAGGGCAGCACGCAGGGCAAGAAGGGCGGCGAGGAGACACTAGGGTAGGGCAGGGCGGCGCGCGGCCAGAGCAGGGCGGCGCGCGCCCAAAGCAGGGAGGCGCGCGGCCAGAGCAGGGCAGTAGCAGGCAGTAGCTCCTAGGGCAGAAGCACCTAGGGTTTTTTTTTAATTATATTATTTAGGGTTTAGCAAAGCGCTGGCGCAGGGCAGGGCGCTGGCGCAGGGCAAGGCGCAAGCCCGTGCACGGCAGGGCGCTGGCGCAAGGCAAGGGTGCTGGCGCAAAGCAGAACGCCAGCGCGCGCAGGGCAGGTCGCTGGCGCAGGCTGCAGCAGTGCGTGACGCGAGGGGCAGCAGAGCGCGACGCGACGAGCTGCCTTAGGGCGCGACGCGCGGGCTGCAGCAGAGCGCGACGCGCAGGCTTCAGCAGAGCGCGACGCGCGAGGCAGCAGCGTGCGACTCGTGCGCTGCTGTAGGGCACGACGCGCGGGGCAGCAGCGCACGACGCGCGGGCTACCGTAGGGCGCGACGCATAGGGCCGCAGCGCGGGCATAGGGCAGGGCGCAGGCGCAGGGCAGGGAGCTGGCGCAGGGCAGGGCGCTGGCACAGGGCAGGGTGCTGGCCCAGGGCAGGGCGCCGGTGCAGGGTAGGGCGCTGGCGCAGGGCAGGGCTCTTGCGCAGGGCAGGGCGCTGGCGCAGGGCAGGGCGCTGGCGTAGGGTAGGGCGCCGGCGCAGGGCAGGGCACTGGGGCAGGGTGACGCGAGGCAGGCCAGGGCAGGGCGTGCGTGAAGCAGCGCAACGCGGGGCAAGGCAGGGCGTGCGCGGGGCAGTGCGACGCAGGGTAGTGGGGTAATGCGGTAACCGCAGTCGGAAGCTAAGTATGGTGGGCTAAAAAAAAAAGAAGAAAAAAAAAATCGGTCCTACGGACCTACTGCTCCGAAACCATGTCAAGATAGCAAGCAGGAATGAATGAACTAGGTCAATGTTTGGTACAAGTATGAAACCCTTAAGGGGCTATACCCCATATTGGCTACCCCACTACAGCCTACACATATATATAATTTGACAGTGGGATGCGGCGCATGAGTTTCCCTAGCACCAACTCGATCCCAAATGAACGACTCCCAGTCCCATGTAGGTACTGCAGCCCACACCTCCTCATTGATATCCCTTGGTGGCGAAGGTTCGCCATCCGAGTCGTCTGTGACGTCGCGGGTTAACCCAAGAGCCTGGGCCCGGCGCTGTGCGTCCGCTGCCTTGCAGACCGACATGTGGCGTGTAGCTTTTCCTCTGTCCGTGAACGTGTGAAAGCAGGTTTCGCACGGGATGCGAGGCGGGGGTGTCAGGGTATGGTCTGGGATCTCCCCTCCAAACGAACCCGCTGGCGACACCCCCCTACTCTGCTGTCCTCTACTCAGCATCCGCTGCTGCAATCCACTCTCCCACTGCTGCCCCCCCCCCCGCTCTGCTGCCGCTGCTGCCCTCCGCCCTGCGGTTCCTGCTGCCCTCCGCTCTGCATCTGCTTTTGCCCCCGGCTCTGCAACTCCCGCTGCCCTCCGCTTTCCGGCTCCTGCTGCCCTCCGATTTGCAACTGCTGCCGCCCTCTGCTCTGCTGCTGCCCTCTGCTCTGGTCTGTTCTTAGTTCGTGGAAAAAAACATGATTACGTACTACATCCTCTAAAACATTGCATTGAAAGTAACCACACCAGACTAGGTATATGTAAGTAAAGCACCCTGCTACCCTATCTCATTTGCATGAGCTATGTGCGCAATTTCAAAAGAATTTTTCATATCGATAGGAGCATCAGCCAAATTTTATATTTCATGCAAGGTAATTTGATTCCTTCAACAAGGTAATTTGGCTTAGTGTGTTTGATTCAGTTGTATGTTTACATAGAGTATGATCACCCGTAAATCCGCCCATGTCGCAGCATGGGCGATGGTCATGGGGCAACAATTTTTACAGAGAGTTTTGCTCAATCCCGCGGAATCGCGGTTCGTATTATTATCGTCACGTGGCATGCCTTGGATCGCTGTGAACCGCGATCTGTTTTATTGTTATTACAAACATAAGGAGAAATTTTGTTAAGTTATGTATTCTGCTGCCCGTGGGCAAAAATAAAACCCATTCGGGCCTGGCATGCGTTAGGGAGGCATCAACCCTAAATGCCTTGCCTCTAGGTGTTTAGGGTTGATGCATCCCTAACACATGTCTTACCTATAGGGGTTTTATTTTTGCCCGCGGGCAGCGTAGTACAGAACTTAACTAAATTTCTCTATTATTTTGTGATAACAATAAGACCGCATTATGAAGTTTGCCCACCATGAAGTCTGCCCACCATCAGAACTTTTCCGGGGCTGATGGTGTCCGGATGGGGCAGGGCCCCACTTTGGCCACCAAACGTGCTTTTGGCGGGCGACAGAGGTCGCCCGAATCGCATGACAGGTGTCCAACCGAGTCGTTTTCGCCACCAATAAAATCTTCTCGTAAAATCGCACGAAGAAGGTGCGATAAATATCGTCAGGCAATAACCAAACGGCCATGCCTCAAGGTCGCGCAAGTCAAGACTTTCAAACAGCAAGTAGCAAGTAGCCAGACTCTCCGAAAGCACAACCCCCCAAACCACCAATCGATGAAGTCGCACATTGACGTGCAGGCAGAGAGCTGCGACCGTGGCCGGTTGGCCTGAGGTCGAGCCGCGTGGGCAAACATTGAAATGTGAATAAATTGCAAAACCAGCATTTCGAGCCGCGTGGGAAGACTTCGGAAGGTGGGCAAACTTCTGACTGCGCCCTAAAACAGATTGCGGTTCACGCGATCATAGGCTCGCCACGTGGCGAAAATAATCCAAACCGCACTTCCGCGGGATTGAGCAAAATTCTCATTTTTACAGGAGACAAACCCAAGGACGCATGTCAAGAGACGAGCACAGGGAGACCACGAATGTCAAGCATGTCAAGATCGCGGTCAAGAAGGAATACTGTACATTACCTGCTTGGCTGGTGCTGCTGGCAACTGCAATTCTGCCGAGTGGAATTGGCAGCCGCCACCACCCTCGTGTGTTGTTGCTGTGTGACAGACGATGGGTACGAAGGATAGTGATTCGCTCAAACGACCCGATGTCCTATGACACGCATGGGTACGAACAAGCTTTGGGCGAAGAAAGTGGAGGTAACCAGTACCTAGTAGGTTGGGGTAGGCAGTGGTAGGGTGTACAGCCCTCTCCCGGTTTCCTCTCTCGATTGCCTCTCTCGGCTCACACTGTATGTACACATGTTCCGCGATAATTCCACACCCTTTATCTTCACGACCTGGGGTACCTACCCTCGAAAGAACCGATTTCGAAGGTAGTTAGAAACGCTCGAAGAATTTTCAAGGTTAATGAAACACAATCTCAATGCGAAGTTACCGCAGGAACAATCTGGCACTGGAATTTTCCCCGCTCACTCGAACTACAAAGTTCGAGTTTGGAAAGGCCTTGACCTGGTTGCTATTTCCTGATAGACCCGCAATGTCAGGGCGTCCGTCTCATCAAACCTTCAACCATGTAGGGTGTCTGAGTAGAATCAAAGTTCAGGGTGTGGAAATATCGGAGAACAGGTGTATCATCAAGTTTCTTCTTTGTGTCGGAGAGCCGAGCCGAAACCGACCCCGGACCGCGGACCTGACTCTACTTTCTGCGACCAATTGATTGTTTACTCCTGGTGACCTGACGGCAGGGTGTTTTGACGGGCATCAATGGAACTCAGCGCAACACCAGCAGCTAGCGTCGTAGTACTTTACAGGTTAGACAATGGGTTAGGTCAAGCCCGAGCCAATATGACTGCACTGCGAGACAAGTTGAACAGAGTCGGCGGAATCCGTTCTGGCGAGAGTAAAATAGAAAAATGTAGGAGCGGGGAAGCGGGGGATGGGGGGGGCGGAGGAAGGGGGGAAAAGAATGGTGGTACAGTACGAGGGCGTAGAACCAGGGAGCGACGGTGTACTGATCCGATCCGAAGCACCGTCTAGGAGGAAATACCCTGCGAGAGACTAGGCGGTACGGTTCGCTGATTCAACGATGTTCCGAATCCCGAAACGTATCCACTTCCTTTCCTTACCCGACAAGGACAGTCGGAGGAGTGCTCTCGTGGCACCACTGGTGGCACCACACGAAGAGCATCATGATCATCATCCCAGGGGCGACTCGGAGTCCGAGTCGCAGGACGGCCGAATCGGGTCGCCGAAACCCAACGCCCATTCCAGTCCTCATACACCACCACGCGTTCACACACCCAGTCACTCACGGTGTACCGCTACTCGACTCCTACACTGCGATCACTGCATGCATGCATTCTGGGCTCGCATTACCGCTACTTACCACATTACTCCAGTTGTACCTACTCTCCGACACGCACCCCTGCTATTACCTCCGACACTGCATGCATTACTGCTACCTCGGACATCGCAGTGATTTTTCTTACAATCTAATCACTCACTCTAGTAGTAATACGATTTTGCCCTGCAGACACTCTCTGGGTGAGGATAGCGAATACGACACTAATGCTCAGTAGGCCTCGACTTCGCCACTGCAACCGCAGTTCCGATCCGTCCATAAGTGGCAGCGCCTGCTCGAGCCGCGGGCCGATTTGAGATTTCCAGCCATCGACGGTTCAGAGTCGCTCGGTTGATCGTAATGGCGCTAGTTCCGCAAATTCCGCGAAGCCCGCGGCGCGCAGCCGTCGCGTTCATTTTCCTTCTCGCCACGGCTCTCGTTTCCGCCTTCACGCGAACTTCCGCCGCCGCCATTTCCCTTCCCGAGTCGCTCTCCTCCTACGACAACGTGGCGTTGCTAGATCAGCGCCTCGAGCTCCACTGGACCGTCAACGGCAGCGACGCGACCATCCGATTGGCGGTTCGAGCTAACACGGCGGGATGGCTCGCTATAGCCATCTCCGAGATAGGCTCCATGGCGGGCTCAGGTACGGATTAGATTCGAAAATTGAGACGTCTCAAAACTTAACACGGGGAAATGGCTCTTTGCGGCCATCTCTGAAATAGGCTCCATGGCGGGCTCAGGTACGAAATCAGTTTGCCTGCATATGGGTCTCTTCCCGTGGGTCCGCACAGTTCTCCATGTGTGAGTTTTTTCCAAAGGAGAGTCAGGAGCAATCATGTTTGTAATTTTCACTTTGTTTTTTCACTCCCAAAAAATCCTGGGTGCGTTAATCCAAATCTTCGTCCCAGACGCGCTCGTGGCGTGGGTGGCGGAGAACAAGGGATGCGTCTACGCCACAGACTGCTTCATCCTCTCTCTCTGTCTCTCCATCTTTCTTTCTCACAACCCACTTTTTTTCCACACTCGTGGCACAGACGCGCTCGTGGCGTGGGTGGCGGAGAACGAGGGACGCGTCTATGCAACAGACTGCTTCATTTTCAACACCTCAGCCACCGGAACCGCACTGGACGACCAACAAGACTGGCACGTGCTGGGCGGCAGTCAGATGACAAACCAATCCACAGGCGACACGTGGACCACCGTGCACGTGTGGCGCCTACTCGACACGGGCGACTGCAATGACCGACCGATCATTTCCGGGAAGCTTCACAACATAATATGGGCGATGGGTCCCACGGATAAAGTCGGCTATCATAACTCCACGCGCGGGGGAGGCACGCTAGTGCTCGCTCGTGCAACCGACCTGGCCATTCTCGAACCCTCAGCACCGCCCTCAACCGCTTCGCCTTCTGCTGGGTCTGACTCGGCTCGAGGGGTTGGGCGGTTGGGCGTGGAGCGGCAGCAAGTGGCAGGGGAGGTGGAGGTGCAGGCGGGGTTGCTCAACTTCACTGTCACAGATTACCCCGTCCCCACCGACCGTTCCTCCTATCGCTGCATGGTACGACCGCCGCGAACTCTCAAAGGTTACAAAGCTTTCTCAATTCCACATTCACGGATCATCCCGCTCCCATCGACTGCTCCTCCTACCGCTGCATTGCATGGTACGACCTTGCAATGTGCGCCTTTTTCACATGTACGCTAGTTAGGCCGGTAGGTGGTGGTAGGCGTCCCTCTCTAAAGACTTCACTTTTCTGAGAAGCACGGCAAATTCCTCAAAAGTGCCGCCCCATGCACGTTCTCCTTGGAGGGCAACGATGCACGTTGCAACTCTCACGGCAGGTGATGGACGTCCCTTGGCGGGCAACGAGCACACAGTGGAGTGGGGGGCGGTCATCAATACCACCCACGTCTCACTTTGAAAGTGACACAGCACAAGCATCGACACACATTCACTGTATTCACATGCTCCTTGTGTTGCATGGCAGGTGATAGACGTGCCTTTGGAGAGCAAGGAGCACGCAGTGGAGTGGGGCCCGGTCATCAACACCACCCACGTCTCCTCCCTGCATCACTCCTTCCTCTACGGCTGCTCCTCGTGAGTAGCCACACACATGCATGCAGTCACACACATGCATGCAGTCACACACATGCATGCAGTCACACACATGCATGCAGTCGCACACATGCATGCAGTCACACACATGCATGCAGTCACACACATGCATGCAGTCACACACATGCATGCAGTCACACACATGCATGCAGTCACACACATGCATGCAGTCACACACATGCATGCAGTCACACACATGCATGCAGTCACACACATGCATGCAGTCACACACATGCATGCAGTCACACACATGCATGCTGTCGCACACATGCATGCAGTCACACACATGCATGCAGTCACACACATGCATGCAGTCACACACGTCCTTATCACTAATGTTGGTGGTATCTACTAACTGATCAGGATTCCTCTTGAGGCGCCTTAAGAGATAAGTAGCCATACACGCACATGCGTGTAGTCACACTCACACACGCACATGCGTGTAGTCACACTCACACACGCACATGCGTGTAGTCACACATGAGACTGTGTGGGCGTGGGGAGGGCGCCCCTTGCCGCACCTTCGTGACTGTGTGGGCGTGGGGAGGGGAGGGCGTCCCTTACCCCGTCTTCTCTCACCTCCTCTCAACCCTTTCTACCTCCTCTGACCTCTTACCACCTCCTCTCACCCCACCAACAGCGAGGAGTATCCGGATCTGCTGCCAGCGGGGATGATATTCGACTGTGTGGGAAGGGCCCCCTGCAGCACATTCGTGGCCGTGTGGGCGTGGGGAGGCCGCCCCTTCACCTTCCCCCCCAACATCGGCTACCCCATCGGCCCCGGCTACTTCACCAAATTCGTGCTAGAGGTGGGTGCAGTGCGGTTCAATGCAGTACAGTGTGGTTCTTTCAGGGCCCTCTGCAGTACCTTCGTGGCAATGTGGGCGTGGGGAGGCCGCCCTTTCACCTTCCCTCCCAACATCGGCTACCCCATCGGCCCCGGCTATTTCACCAAGTTCGTGCTTGAGGTAGGTGAAGCGCGATTCTGTGCAATTCTACGAGGTTCAGTGCGGTTGCATGCGGTTCAGTTTGGTTCCATTCGAATCAATTCGGTTCTATGCGGTTCAGTGCAGTTTAGTGCGGTGCAGGGCGGTACTGGACAATGTCACCCCACAATTTACCCTAGCGTCTCTGCTTAAACCCCCCCAGTTCCCTTTCCCTCTATGGCGATCCATTGCATGCACCACACAAAGCCTTCCCCTGATATTACATCACACCATCATATAAGTCTGCTCAATCAACCCAACACCGTGAAGAAAGAGTGTTTGACGTCTCAAAAGCCACGTGAAAAAATAGTGTTTCTGAGACGTCTCAAAAGCCACGTGAAAGAAGAATGCTTTTGAGACGTCTCAAAACCACACCAAGCCTTCCCCTGATATCACATCACACCATCATATAAGTCTGCTCAATCCCCCCAACACCCCCTCCCATCTCCGCCACTGCTCCCCCTCCCCCACACGCCAACCCCTCAGATGCACTACGTGAATCCCGAAGGACTACCAAACATAATCGACAGTTCCAGGGTATACCTGAAGCTGGCGGCATCGCCGGATCTGCAGGACGCGCACATCATGAAGGCCGGCCTCGTGGACCACACCCACCTCATCCGCGTGCCATTCCCTCCTCCACCTCCCTTCTCCCTCCCCTTTCCCCTCCCCTTCCCCTCCTGCCTCCTCTCCTTCCCTTCCCCCTTTCCTCCCCTTTCCCCGTCCCCTCCCCCCCTCCCGCTCAGATGCACTACGTCAATCCCGAGGGCCGAACCGACATCATCGACAGCTCGGGGGTGTACCTGAAGCTCGCCTCCTCTCCAGACCTCCAGGACGCGCACATCATGAAGGTCGGCCTTGTGGACCACACCAACCTCATCCGCGTGCCGCCCGCCATGCCCTCGTGGACCCTTGCCAATTCCTGCCCGGGGGAGTGCACTGCTGCCGTGTTCAAGAACCAGAGCGTGAAAATCGTCGCGTCGATCCTGCACGAGCATAATATTGGGCGTCAGGTGGGTGGAGGAGATTACAAGTACTTGCTTTTGAGTCGAGGTGACTTTTGAGTCGAGGTGACTTTTGAGTCGAGGTGACTTTTGAGTCGAGGTGACTTTTGAGTCGAGGTGACTTTTGAGTCGAGGTGACTTTTGAGTCGACCCAAAAGCCACTGTGAAGTAGACTCACCGGGAGTGCACTGCCGCGGTGTTCAAGAACCAGAGCGTGAAGATCGTTGGGTCGATCCTCCACGAGCATAACATGGGGCGCCAGGTGAGCGGGAATTCATAAGGGCTGGTATATCACTGGACTGGTAATCACTCTTTGTTGAGTCGGCGCAAACATCTGCCGTAGTTTGTGAATTTTCCGCACAACGAGAGGGTGAAAAATCGCAGGGTCGATCCTACATGAGTGAGTAGAAAAAACTCAGTCAAGTTAAACTCTTTGTGTTTTTTTCGCTCAGTGAGACAGAAAAATATGAAGAAAATAAAGGAAAAGAAATCATCGTCTCGACATTTCACCGACACATCTCAAAACGCGATCCGTTTACTGCCATCCCATTCCCCTTTTCCACTCTGAAATCCCAACCTCTTTGCACAAAATTCCCTCTTCAGGTGTACACGGAGGTGCTAAGGAAGGGCAGTACAGTTGCCACTATCAACCGCATCGACTACTTGTGAGTTCCCCTCTTGCCACGACCACTCCTCACGCTATTTACCCCTTCCTTCACCCCCTCCTTCACCCCCATCACGGCGGCCCTTCAACCAACCATCAACCGCACCGCATTGACTACTTGTGAGTTCTACTCGCTTCTCCCAATTTTCTGCCATGCCGGTACGGTACAGCCCAAGGTGACTTTTGAGTCGACTCAAAAGTCAGGACGGTACAGCCCAAGTTTGAGCTTTGAGTCGACGCAAGCCGTTACCCCCTCCACTTCCCCCCATTCTTTCTCCTTCCTGGGTGCCAGTGACTATGCATCGCAGCAGACCATGCCGGTACAACCGGAGTTTGAGCTGCTGCCAGGCGATGAGATCCGCACCAACTGTGTGTGGGACTCCACCTCTCGCTCCAATGTAAGACCTCTCAAACCCCCGAGGTCACAAGGTTTGAGGTGCGTGCGTTAAAAGCCTCTGAAAGAGTTTGAGCTTGCTACCAGGAGCCGAGATCTCTCCAATCCAATGTACGACCTCCCAAACCCCCAAGGTCACAATGTTTGAAATGCTTCAAAAGACATGAGTGCACAATATTTCCGAGCTCCCGCCTTGCTGCCTCATCCGCCATGCTCCGTCCTCCTTATTCTCTGCTCCAATCTCTTATCTTCTCTGCCCGGCCCTGCAGCTAACGGTGGGAGGGCCAGCAGCTGAGAACGAGATGTGTGTGAACTACCTCGTGTACTACTCTGCAACGCAGGGCCAAGGTGAGCCTTCTTTCCATGTGCCTTAGTAGGGGGGCCATCTTATATTCGATAGATCATAGAGGCATCCGTGGAGAATGGGATGTGTGTCAACCACCTCGTGTACTACTCTTGAGTCGACTCAAAAGTCAGCTCGTGTGTCAACCACCTCGTGTACTACTCTGCAACGCAGAGCCAAGGTAACCCTTCTTCACTTTCCCTGCTGTTTTCTCCCCAGAGATGCATGCGTGCTACACGGTGTGTGGGGCGATGGACAACACACTCTCTATCGACCCCAGCCGCCTAGACCTCACCACGCACTATGTGTGTGGGCCAGGGCACAACCCATTCATCCCCACCAAACTTTCTTCCTGTTCCTCCCTGTTCCTTCCCTCCCTCCCTCCCCAACCCTTGTGTTCCCCAACCACCAGAGATGCATGCATGCTACACAGTGTGTGGGGCGATGGACAACACACTCTCTATCAACCCCAGCCGCCTAGACCTCACCACGCACTATGTGTGTGGGCCAGGGCACAACCCATTCATCCCCACCAAACTTTCTTCCTGTTTCTCCCTGATCCTTCCCTCCCTCCCTCCCCAATCCTTGTGTTCCCCAACCACCAGAGATGCATGCATGCTACACGGTGTGTGGGGCCATGGACAATGAAACACTAACCATCGACCCCAGCCGCCTAGACCTCACCACGCACTACGTGTGTGGGCCAGGGCACAACCCCTACATCCCCACTGGCAAATCCTGCGTTATCAGCTACGGCTGCAACGACAATGTCACAGTGCTCTATGGCTGCCCTGACCAGTGAGTGCAAACCATCCCCCCACTCCACCCCACTCCACCGCACTCTCCCCACTCTCCCCACTTTTCAACTGCACTACACTGCATTACACTGCACTGCACTCCAACTGCATTATAGTGCCCCACCCATACCAGCACATCACCCATACCATTACAACACCCCCTCCCCCTCTTCCCCCTCTTCCCCTTCGTTCCCTTTCCCCCCCTCCTTTTCCCTCCTTCCCCCTATCCCTCCACTCCACCCTGTAACGCACTGCACGTCCAAGGCTTCGTTGACTCAAGATCGAGAGGGGACGTGCAGGCCCTCCTTCGTTGGGACTTCTCTCTCAATCGATTTTTCGTTGACTCAAGATTGCCCCTTCCCACTCCCCCTCCACCTCCCTCCACCCCACACCACCCGCAACCTACTGCAGGACCAGAATTTCGCTGTCGACCATTCCAGTCGATGACATCTCAACACTGCTCCAACCCGGCAGCACTCTCTCCCCTTCTTCCCTTGCCAATAATGCTGCTTCCACTGCAAACACCAATGGAGATCTATCCCCCACCAATACCAATGCTCTTGCTTCCGCCGCCAATGCCACTGCTGTTGGTCCCCCCTCCAAGACCAATGCAAAGGCTGCCCCAGCAGCAGCAACTGGTAGTTATATAACTTTGATGCTTATGCTTGGCTCTTTTATTGCCCCCTTCGCTTTCTAATGGTTCCTGCTGACTTACATGGTACCTTAACTTTGTTTTATTGCACTTCGTAGGTTGCTTTATAGAGTGATGTGAGATGTAGAACGCGTTCAGGGTGTGACATATCTCCCAGCCATTTTATCAGTCTCTGAATTATGCACAGTGATAGTGCATGTGGTGTTGAGAAATATATGTGGGTAACTGATTTTCAGCATCACATACAACCCGTAAGCTGGTTTCCGTAGTTTTTATTGTACTCATGACGAACATTGAGGGCCTTTGAATCGCATCACAACCGTGTCGCGCTGCAATTTGTTGGGTTTCCCATTACTTCTCATCTTGGCGCTTCGAATGATTTTGTTGCTGACACGTTTCGCTCACACGTTCATCTATCCTCGTCTTACAAGTTTGGCGGTGAGGTCGCCTTCCTGCGAACTTCGGACAGGACAGCCCCCCAAAAGTGCACCGCAGTGGTTCCAGCGTGGCAGCGCAAAAGATTCCCATACCCGCTCACCGACGTCCGGATTCACCCCCCCGCCACCTCATCACAAACCCCAGTGCTTTCGCACGTGCCGAGTGCACTTTTCGCTGTCGGAACTTCGAGCTTCGGACAGCCCAGGAAGGCGATCTGAGACAAAATCATAGCGTTATGAGACCGTCAGGCGATCTCGGCGAATTATCGCAAGCCGAAATCAGGCGTCATGTCCGTAGTGGGGCCGTCCCCCACTCTGACAGCATCGTGTGCATGATGGTGGGCAGGGCAATCCTCAATGGTGTGGGTAATGCAATCTGAGCCGCACAACAAAAACGACTCTAACATGAACCGTAGATGAACGCATACGTGCGACAGACGGCTTCCAGTCAACGAGGTGACGAATCACGGGCAAAGAACGCATGAATCCAAAATATGCATGTTACCAAAACTCACGTTCTCCAAAATCACCCGGGTCTTGGCTTGGACATACATTTTTTCGAGACGGACACTCTGGCATTTTTCTGTTTATCAGTCTCTTAGGAACACGCCCTTAAAACCCGAGCTCTACATGGCAATTTTCTAGCTCAAGACTCCTGAATAGGAATTCGCAAAAAACCATGTTACCACCCGAAGTGGAGGATATCCGTCGCGATCCCGAGGGGAGGTTTTGCGACGTTGTTCCATGATTGGCCGGCGACAAAACCAGTCATACCGAGTAAAGGGTCGGAGGGCAATGGAGCACTGTTCACTTTCAGTTAACTTGAAAACCATGTTGTACTAAATGGCAGGTATATTGACAGCCTATGTTTACTTAGTTCACCCGTTTTCCGCGCCCAAACTTTCTCCGTATCACTCCTTTTCTCCGTAGCAGCTGTATCAATACAGCAGCCTATTTGGTGACAAATACGAACAGCCAATCATAAAACCAGTCGGAGATGTCCCATTTACACAATAACTAGAGAGCTCACATGCGTGTGCAGTGCGCACCCAACCGGATATAGTTACTCGCGCGACGCCAACACGTGCCTGCACGTCACAATTCCATCCACCCCCCCGGCGTCTAACCCGGGTTGCGCATCTAGACGGTCGCACGGTCGAGGGTCAAGGATATCCCTTCCGACGGTTGCTCTCCCTTCCGCCCGTTGCCCTTCTTTCCCCCTCGTCGCCCTGCCTTCCGTCCGTCGCCCACCCTTGTTCCCGTCGCCCTCCCTTCCCGTCGCCCTCCCTTCCCGTCGCCCTTCCTTCCCGTCGCCCTCGCTTTCCCCGTCGCCCTGCCATCCACTCCCCGTCGCCCTCGCCTTCCCTCCCGTCTCCCTTCCCATCTTGCACACTTGTCACCCTCCCTTTTCTCTCCCTACTCCCTCTTTTCCCTCCCTCCAATAATTGCCTTCCTTCCACCAACTTATACCCCTTCCTTGCTTCTCCGTATCCCCAACCCTGCTTCCCCCCATCCCCTTCCCTGCTTCCCCCCATCTCCTTCCCTTCTTCCCCCCATCTCCGTCCCTGCTTCCCCCCATTCCCCCTCCCTGCTTCCCCCCATACCCCTCCCTGCTTCCCCCCATCCCCCTCTCTGCTTCCCCCCATACCCCTCCCTGCTTCCCCCCATCCCCTTCCCTGTTCCCCCCCATCCCCTTCCCTGCTTCCCCCCCATCCCCCTCCCTACTTCCCCCCATCCCCTTCCATGCTCCCCCCCATCCCCTTCCTTGCTTCCCCCGCATCCCCCTCCCTGCTTCCCCCCATCCCCTTCCCTGTTCCCCCCCATCCCCTTCCCTGCTTCCCCCCCATCCCCCTCCCTACTTCCCCCCATCCCCTTCCATGCTCCCCCCCATCCCCTTCCTTGCTTCCCCCGCATCCCCCTCCCTGCTTCCCCCCATCCCCTTCCCTGCTTCCCCCCATCCCGTTCCCTGCTTCCCCCCATCCCGTTCCCTGCTTCCCCCCATCCCGTTCCCTGCTTCCCCCCATCCCGTTCCCTGCTTCCCCCCATCCCCTTCCCTGCTCCCCCCCATAATCTCTGCCCAGGTGTCCTTCCTATTCATTCTGTTCCACCCACCCTCTCCCATTCCGTTCTGCCGCCATCTCTCATTCTTCCCACCCTCTCTCTCCCTCCTCCCGCACTCTCTCTCTCTCTCTCTCTCTCTCTCTCTCTCTCTCTCTCTCTCTCTCTCTCTCTCTCTCTCATGGGCCTTGTATTGATTGGTGGGAGGTACATGGGAGGATGCAAACACATGCAAAACTTCCGATATAACACACGGTCTACCTAACTACCCTACTCCCTTACTCCCTCCCGCCCCCTCCGCCCGACCCTAAGGGTTGAACGGGGGCTCTATTAGCTGGTAGAGCTGGCCTTCGCTAAGGGGGGCAAAGGGGCCCCGCATGCCGAGCTCGTCCGCTGCTATCGCCTCGTTGGTCTTGCAGCGGAGGGCGTTGGCTTGTGCTTTTTGGAGGCACACGCTCCAGCGCTGGCGGTATTCCGTCAGCAGCTTGGCGGCTTCGTAGGAGGTGGGGGCTGCGTTGAATCGCAATTTGGCCGCCAGCTCCGCGCACTGCCGCAAGAATGCCAATACCCCGGGCGAGGGGTACCCATATGTCTCCACCGCTAGGGCATGAAAGCCCACCCACGCATTCCGGCGCGCGTATTTCTGCTCCTTCTTGTCCGCAGCTGCCCTAGCCGCCCACCCCGGTGCTCTGTTGAAGTTCTCATCTTGGTGAGAAACAAGGTCCGTCACTGTCACGTCGCACATCCATACCTCTCCCGTCCGGGGATGGCGGATTGCGACGTCCGCCTTCAGGTTTTCAACGAGAGACTATACATAGGTTTCTTTGTGCACCGTGAATCCGGCCTCTGCCGCAATCAAAGCAATCTCGTCCCTGAGCGCATGGTGAGTCGCAATCCTTCCCCCCCCTTTCTTGCAGTGCATGAGATGGTTTGGGAAGCGGTCATCAGGGAATTTGGTGCGGTAGCGGCAGTCGCAGCGCCTGGGGACAGGTAGGGGGAGGCCCAGGCGGAACGCAGCAGCGAAGGAGAGCTGGGAGGGTCCCATCCTAAGCAAGGGTATGATGGGTAGTGCCAGCAGCCAATCTCCCGCACCAGGGCCGAGCACCGACTGCATTCTCTGGGCATGGCCAGAGAGGGGGTTGGGGCGCATCTGTCAGATTTATATGACATAGTTGCTGTAGGCTATAGTGGGGTAGCACATATGGGGTACAGGGTTTCTAGGGTTGTATTTGTACCCAATCTTTCCTTAGTCATTTCATTCCTGCTTACTCATTTCACATGGTATCAGAGCGGGTTCCCTGTGGAACTCTGCCTAGGGCCCACCGAAGCGCGCCCCGAGGCGCGCTCAACTTTTTTTTTCCGCTCTCGAGCGACCCTCCGTGTCGCCTCCCTCCCACACGCGGCCCAGCCGCCCGCTAAGTCGCGGCCCCAGCCGCCCGCTACGATCGCGGCCCCAGCCGCCTGCTCGACGCGGCCCCCAGCCGCCTGCTCGACGCGGCCCCCAGCCGCCTGCTCGACGCGGCCCTGCCGCCCGCTACGCCGCGGCCGCCGCCCACTACGATCGCGGCCCCGGCCGCCTGCTACGACCGCGGCCCCAGCCGCCTGTTCGACCGCGGCCCCGCCGCCCGCTCCTGTCGCGGCCCCGGCTGCCTGCTCGCACGGCCTCGCCGCCCGCTACTACCGCGGCCCCGGCCGCCTGCTCGACCGCGGCCCCCCCAGCCGCCTGTTCGACCGCGGCCCCGCTGCCCGCTACTGTCGCGGCCCCGGCCGCCTGCTAGCGCGGCCTCGCCGCCCTCTACTACCGCGGCCCCGGCCGCCTGCTTGCACGGCCCCGCCGCCTGCTACGACCGCGGCGCCAGCCGCCTGTTCGACCGCGGCCCCGCCGCCTACTACCGTAGCGGCCCCGGCCGTCTTCTCGCGCGGCCCCGCCGCCCACCTACTACCGCGGCCCCAGCCGCCTGCTCGCACGGCCCCGCCGCCTGCTACGACCGCGGCCTCCCAGCCCACTAGGCTGCGGCCGCCGCCTGCTCAACCGCGGCTTCGCCGCCCACTACGCATCGGCCCCGCCGTCCACCTGTAGCGACTGTGCGGGCGGACCTCTGAGCAGCTGTGCCGCCGAGCCGCCCGGGAGCCGAGCCGCCCTGCAGCCGAGCCGCCCGGGAGCCGAGCCGCCCTGCACCCGAGCCGCCCTGTCGCCGAGCCGCCCGGGAGCCGAGCCGCCCTGCCCCCGAGCTGCCCTGCCGCCGAGCCGCCCGGGAGCCGAGCCGCTGTGCACCCGAGCCGCCCGGTCGCCGAGCTGCCTTTCTGTCGAGCTACGCGACCTGCCCTGCCTGGTGAGCACAGTCCCACTGTCACTGCGTGCTCTCCCCCCTACTGCTTGCACTGCTTCACAGTCGTCGCCATGGCTACCCCTAGTGTCCTAGCTTTTGACGCTGAGGGTCGCGCCATTGATTTTGAGGTCTGGCTAGACGACCTGCAGCTGTTCTTACAGTGCGACAGAGCTGACGACCTTTCTCTCTTTGACCTCACCTCTGGCGCCTCTCCTGCTCCTGCTACTGATGCTGATCCCGCTGTCCGCTCTAAGTGGGCCACCCGCGATGCTGCTGCACGTCTTGCTGTGCGTCGCCACCTCCCTACCTCTGAGCGTGCGCACTTCAGTCAGTACAAGAGTGCTCAGACCTTGTACGACGCTGTAGTTGCGCGCTACTCCTCCCCTGCCACTGCTGCACTGAGCCGTCTCATGCTTCCCTACCTCTTTCCTGACCTCTCTGCCTTTCCCACTGTCGCTGACCTCATTACGCATCTCCGCACTAGTGACACTCGCTACCGCGCCGCCCTTCCTGCTGAGTTCTGCGCTAAGAACCCCCCCCCCATGTACATCGCTCTCTACTACGTAGTCGCGCGCCTCCCTGACTCCCTTCGAGTCGTCAGGGACCACTTTCTCGCAGTCTGCCCCACCACGCTCACCGACGACCTCCTCGAGAAGGCCCTCCTCGCAGCGGAGAAGAGCATAGTCGCTGTAGGTGCTTCTCGTGGTGACCCTCGCACCCCCATCTTTGAGGGGTGCTCTCCTTCCCCCTTGCTGCCCTCTGTTGCCTCTGCTGCTGCTGCCGACCTGCTTGGTCTTGAGTCGGTCGGCGCGGCGTCTGCCCCTAGTGGGAGACGTCGCTCCAGCAAGGGCAAGGGGGGCAAGGGCGCGGGTGGAGCTGGAGGGGGCGGTGGCGGTGGCGGCGGTGGCGGCGGAGGGAGTGGGGGTGGCGGCGGGACTAGTGGCGGGGGTGGTGGTGGTGGTGGCAGCAGCGGCGGAGACAGTAGTGGTGGTGCCAGCGGTGGTGGTGGAGGCAGCGGCGGAGGTGGAGGCGGCGGAGGTGGAGGCGGTGGAGGCGGCGGCGGAGGAGGCAGTGGTGGTGGAGGGGGTGGAGCTGGTCGGGGTGGTACCCAGCAGCGTAGCGGCGGTGGTAGTGGCCAGCGCTCGCAGCGGCAGCAGCAGCAGCGCTCTCGGGACATCCCTTCGCCTCAGCAGCTTCGTGAGTGGTATGCTGGGCGTCAGAGGGGTGGGGGTACTGGTCCCTGCACCTACGTTCTTCGTTCCGGCGACCGCGCGGGTGAGCAGTGTGGGGGTGCCCACGCCACCCAGCGCTGCTTTGGCCGCCTGACGGACGCCTGGCGTGAGCAGTTCCCTGGGGCTAGTGAGATCCCTCGCTGGGACGAGCTTCTCAGGGCTGGTGTAGCGATCTTTGATCTTGATTTTGATGCTATCCTTACTGCTATGTATGTTGTGGATTATAGTGAGGAGAATGAGGGTTACCGTTGTTTCCAGCCCGACCCGGGCATTGGTACTGCTGCGCTAGGTGCTTGTGAGGCTGCTGCTCTAGGTGCCAGTGCGTCTGCGCTCTCAGGTACTGGTGAGACTGCGCTCTCAGGTACTGCGTCGTCCTCGTCCTCCCTCACTTTCACACTTGACTCCGGAGCTTCTCGCTCCTTCTTTCGAGACCGCACTACCCTTACGCCGCTCGGCCGGCCGGTTGCAGTCTCCCTTGCTGACCCCTCAGGAGGTCCTGTCCTGTCTCACTTCTCCACTGTCCTCCCGTGTCCGGCTGCCCCTTCGGGCACCCTGTCGGGTCTGTACCTTCCCTCGTTCTCCACGAACTTGGTGAGTGGAGCGGACCTGCAGGATGGGGGTGTTCACCAGTTCACTCCTGCGCGTCAGCGGGTGACCCACTGCACGGAGGCACGCACAGGCCGACACCTGGCCACGTTCTCGCGTCGGCCGGGGTCAAGTCTCTACACCCTGACCGTTGAGTCTCCTCCTGTCCCTGCGTCTGGTCAGGTGGCTGCGTCGGGTCAGGTACTTGCTGCTGCGTCCCGGTCAGGTCCTGAGTCTGCCCCCTGTTCTTGTCGCCTCCTGTCTCACGAGACTCTCCTGTGGCACCACCGTCTTGGCCACCCCTCCTTGCCCCGTCTTCGGAGCATGGCTTCCCGTGTCCTTGTCTCTGGTCTTCCCCAGTCTCTCCCTCCTCTCCCCTCCGGGCCAGGACCTTCCTGTGTCCCCTGTGTCGAGGGTCGCCTCCGGGCTACTCCTCACTCCTCCCACTTCCCCCCGACAGAGGCTCCCCTGCAGACGCTTCACATGGATGTGTGGGGCCCAGCCCCCGTCCGTGGGCAGGGTTACGAGCGCTACTTCCTGTTGGTGGTTGACGACTACTCGCGTTACACCACAGTCCTCCCCTTGCGCAGCAAGGGTGAGGTCACTGAGGTACTGATCGACTGGATCCGCGAGGCTCGTCTCCAGCTCAGGAGGAGCTTCGGCTCAGACTTTCCTGTTCTGCGTCTGCACTCGGACAGAGGCGGAGAGTTCTCTTCTCGCCTTCTGCGAGACTACTGTCGTGCACGGGGGATCCGCCAGACCTTCACGCTTCCGGACTCACCACAGCAAAATGGGATTGCTGAGCGCCGCATTGGCATGGTCATGGATGTCGCTCGTACGTCCATGATGCATGCGGCTGCCCCCC